GACTGAAATAAATTAAAAATAGAGGGGCTAAATCTGTACCCAGGAGTGAGATTGATTTGATTAGTAGGAAAAACAAAGTGACCTGATGCATCTTTCTACATAAAATCTATTCTATTGCTAAAGGCTTATCTCCATTTAGAATAAGGATTAATCACAGAATTCATCTAGCACAACTTTTTCTGCTTTTCCGAGATTTCCAGCAAGATATCAGAACTCAAAATGTAGGGATTAAATTACATACAAATAAAAATATAACATTAAATATTAACCTTTGCAAATACTGTTGAGTCGTCATCCTTGCTGACACAACACCACAGTATACAAGTGACGGAAATGATGAAAATGATTGAGAAGAAACTTAGCCATACTGCCACTACACCAAAATAGTCGATTGCGTTCAACTGCTGCTTAAGGTCGACCATGGCTGGAAATTGTGGTTTAAAATCTGGTAGGATGATAGTATCCTTTGATTTGCTGAGAAAATGAGGGAAAGCAGTGGGAAAAAGACAAAGAGTTAAAGCTTTATGAATGCATAAAATGACAAAGGTCTTCATATACAAGGTAATAACCGATCTTCTAGACGAAAGAAAACTACATCCCATTATATTTAAAAATATGACTTTGTTTCCACTTCATCTATATCTTTGATTTCTACCAGTCTATTTTTATAATACCAAAGAGTTGCACATTATAGCCAACACGATTAATGAAATTCTCTTGAGTTCATATAAAATGCAGCCTTGAAACGGGGAATTTAAAAAGTCATCTGATTGCGTGGTTTTTTAATTTTAATATTTTCTCAGGTTAATTTGAAATACTAAATTGTTTTCCTTATCATTCATAAAGTGTACATAGTACGTGAGTACGTGTTTTTTTAACAATTTTTTTAATACTGGATCTACTTGCAATTTTTAATTATAACTTAATGTAGGGGGATTAAGAAAAGGCCAAAACTCTTAGAAAATAAATATGATGTAACGTTTACTACAATCAACTTCAATTTAGTGTAAACGAACTTGATTATAAAATTTTAGTTTGGAAAAAAAATTAATTTATTTCTTTTTTTGAATAAAAATTACTAACTTTTTATCCTTTGCGTGAATAAGAAACTGGACATTGGATTGTAGAAGTGGAATAACAAAGTTGCATTAAATCCGTTAACTAGGTAAAGCTTCCCCATCCAGCTATATTTGGATCCGCTTCATTTGGGCAAAAAGAAAATTGGATACGTGAACGAGTTTTTTCGACAATCGTTTATTTTAAATCGTAGCTCTTGGAACTCCGCAACAAAAAAAAACGGGGTATTGTGCTTGAATTAGTAAAAGTTATTATTAGTATTGGCGAGTTATCCCGGATTCAACACCAGCTCTGTGGGTTTTATAATAATTCTTGTTTTGTCATACGTTTTTTTTGAATTTAGTATGTATAATATCTGCCTAATAAAATATTCATATATAAAATAGTAATTAAACAT